ACCCATTAAAAATCTAATTAAATCCTTGCACTTAATTAATTATTTTAATTTTAGCACAAATTAATTTTTAAACTTAATTAAATCTTTAATTAGGCTCATGGTTAAATTAAATCAACTTATTAAAAATCTAAGTAAGTCCTCAAACTAATGTTTTATGCAAATTCGTTTGATATTCAATTAAATTAACTTTGAATTTGCATTGTGCTTCACATAAAGGTCCTTCAAGGGTGCAAATGAGTTTTTAATTTCATCAAAGATTCATTTTGGTTTCTAATTAGCACTTAAAAGTGTATTTTTATCAAAGTTTTATATTATCATTTTGCATTTGGAGTATCAATAACTCCTTAACTACAACATATTTTATAATAATAAGTTTGATAATATAAGTCACCTTTAATTTATGGTAAATATTTATTTTAAATGCAGACTTATCACATATATCAAATAATTAATTGATGAATTTAACTACTGAAATTGAAAAGATAGAGAGAGCTAAGTTTAGAAACTAGATGCTAGTTGAATTCAAATTGGAGCACCATTAGGTTATTGGATCATAATTGGAGCTGTAAAACTTTGATTTAAGTCTACTTTATATGTATAGAAAGTTAAGAGACGGACATACAATTTTCATAAGAGTCCAAGATTCAAAATGACTGTTTTCAAGTTTAAATTGTAGCAACAATAGAGAAATCAGAATCTGTCCTACAATCTGAATATTGTTTAGTGTTCAGCCATATTTTGAGTTTTAAATGTCCAAATGACCTCATTCTTACTTTGTTGGAAAACTGAAACAATGTCCTAGAAATTTTAATGAAAATTATATGTTCAAATTCTAATGTTAACAATAATGTTATCTGAAGAAAAGAAGATAAGAATTGTTATCAAGTCAAAAGGTGATCATCCACTCAATAATTAGTCATCAAATCAATAGTTCTGAAATTTGGTTTATAAAAGGAGTCATTTGCTACGCATTTAGGCATCTTTGTTTTCAGATCAAGATCATGTTTTGCTCTATCTCTTTATATTTTTGTAATGCTTAAATTTTGTTTTCGTTAATCTCTTATTTATCCTTTTCATTTTCTTTACTATACTTATATAATTATATTTTTATATTGTTTATCTATGTTTCTCTTAATCATAATGTTTAGCTAAGTTTATTATATCAAAGTTAAAAGGTTACACTAATAGTGTAAGAATAAGTTAGTATAAACTCAACATGAATTTTAATATTTGATACTAATATGTTTTGTATTTATTATCTTACTCACTCTTAATACCTTACTTATTAAATGATTAATCTACTTTGTGTTAAACAACCCTTGGCAGAACAAATACTCGGCATTTTTATAGTCCAACTGTATAGTATAATTGACACTTATACTATGAAAGGAACTTGATTTATTGTTAACATAAGTTATCATCATTAATATCTTATAACATTTATAATTATTGGCATTACTCAAATAAAATAATTAATAATATTAATAAATTATAATCCGATTAGAACCTTCTTTGTATGTGGTTTCCAGTTGAATAATAAAAAGGAGTTTATATTATATTTATTTGAAATACCATTAGTGGATCCTCTAACATTGATAATTATTTTATATTTGTTTAAATCATTACATCAATTTCACATCTCAAATCTATCTTTAACTTTTTTTTTTATTATTATCTATTTCTTTATTTATAGTTTATATAGTTAACATCTCTATAATTCAATCTCAGTCTTACCAGGTTATTTATTTCATCGACACTCTTATACTTATAAGAAGATATCAACTTTTTGATCATGTCAGTATTTTTATCTCTCATTTATTCATTTAAATCCTTTTTTAACATGTCATTGCCACCCAATCGCTTTTTTTTTTTTTAAGTAAAAGACAATTTTAGGGAACTTAAAATTAGGTGATGACTATCAACATTGTAGTTATTAATTATTTAAATAAGATTTCAAAACTCAATTCACATTGGCTAAGAATCTCATAATCAATATTACTTTAAAATAAATAAAATATTTTCTCTAATTCACCTAAGTGATGAATCATCTCGTCATAACTTAAATATCTTCAAATAGTTTATGTTATATTGCATATTTTTTTATTTGTTACCCTTGATTTATACAACATATGGTCAAAATCAGAACATAACACTTCCTATATGAGATAACTTAGTAATTTTAAGTCTAAAAATTAATTACATAACTATCATGGAGTTTTTCTATAGAAATAGACGATCTCTTCATATAGAATTCTCTTACTGATTAGTTCAGTATATATGTCATATAATAAGCAATTGAGTATCCTTCATACCTTAGTTTTTTTTTATTATATTTTATCCTCATTCTTTTAATTTTTATTTTTCTTACTACAACAAATTTTTTAAATTATTTTTTTTATTTCATCTTTATATTAAATTAATTGAGAATTGTGCTTCTTGATTGAGTTTAGGTCTAGAATTTCACGAGGTGTGAGTTTAAGAGATTAATCTAATTTTTTTTAAGCTCATGTTTTTTTAGCTTCATCCTTTAATATTTATTTTATTATAGATTAAACTCTGATATATATTTTTATTTTTTTTATAGGATTTTTTACTAATATTAAAATAACTCGAGTTATCTCAAACCTTATTATTTGTTATTCTTTGTGAAATTTAGCTTTTTTTAAAAAAAATTATTTTTAAATTAAATTAAATTTTGTTGATTAAATATGAAGATATAATATTCACTTTATAATATTTTGTTTAGTAGACTTTTCAAGCCATTACTTTAATAGTACTTATAGTTTCTTTTGTTGTCATCATGCAACTAGTAGTGATATTATAACCATCTTGGTAATTTTTTTTTTTTTGTGGTGGGCTTATAATTTTAAATCTCTAACATATTTTGTTTTTTTCTGAAAAATATAATATTGATAATTTAGTTTTTTATAATTAATTATTAATATTTTTTGTTTGTTTTATTTATTATCAATACTATTTAATTATATTATTAAATAAACCCAATTTATGAAACTAGATTAAGTTAATGAGTAAGCATTATGTATATTTATTTTTTTAAATATTTGTATCGCTTGAAATTTTTTTAATGATGTTAGAAAAATTCTAACCCCTACACAAAGCAATAAGGGTCACTTATATATTGATCGTCGCATATTCCGGCACGATATTCAAAGGTAATTTTCTGTTTTTTTGTATGAATTAAAAATTATTATTTAATATGTGATTCAGGATTATTAAAATACTTAAATATATTAATATTTATTAGAAATTTACAAATAAAATATTAATTATAACTAAACAAATTATTAACACTTTTAATACTCTCTACTTTAAATAAATTACTAATTAAAAAAATATTTATCAAAATCTCAAAATTTTAATAAATTATCTATCAAATCTCAAAATATATAAAAAACATATTAAAAATATAATAAGGTATTTGAACATATACTAATTAAAATATTATTTTTTTATCCTTTTAATTTTATAATCCAACAACTTTTTTTACTATTTTCTCACCCATAACTCCATTTTCTCACCCATAACTCCATGGTTACAAAATAACAAAAATTCAAATACAATTTAGTAAATTACAAAAATAACCCTAAAAATTCCAGCAATTGCTGGGAACATCTTCTGAACCACCGGAACAGTGGTGACCCGTCACCTCGGGGGGCTGCCGCCACTGGCTGCGCGTGGGTTCACGCACTTCCCCGAGCGAAGAACAAGAGATCGGTGGATCATTGACGTTTTCTCCTCCTCTCCCTTTCTGCACCGGCGGTGATACCACCGTCACCTGCAAAAGAAGAAAAAACGCAAGCAAAGTTTCGGTTCTTCCTCCCCTTTTTAGATCTGCTCTCTTCTGGTTTCTCTCTTTCTCTTGGTTCGTTGGTTTTCCTTCTGCAGGTAACAGATCTGGCGGTTGGGAAGGTCTGATGTACGGCCGGTTGAAGGAGATGAAGAAGAGAGTGGGGGCCGCTGCCTTTCTGTCGGGTGAGGGAGAAGATCTGTGGAAATAGGGGGAGCTTCGCTGGCCTTTGTTCTCTCTGGTTTTTGCCCAAAAGAAAGAGGAGGCGGAGGCTTTGTTGTGAGGCAGACTGGAGATGGATGTAGAGGCCGGCCAGAAGAAACAGCTGCGGGCCTGCTGGGATGGGATGAAAATGGAAATGGCTGGGGGGCTGTGGTTGGCCAGGAGAGGGAGAACGTGGCTGAGGGGGGAAGGAGCAAAAACAGAGAGGGAAAATGTTGGATTCGGGGCTTTAGGCGTGGCTGGCGGCTGAAGGGAGAAGGGATAGTGAGGGAGGTCTGTCCGCGCAGTGGCCGGCCTCTGCGGGGGTCAAGAACAGTGGAGATGGAGCGGTCAAGCTTTCACCGGTACTATGACCAAAATCTCCAAGACCTGGTGGGGCCGCTAGTGGTTCGGGTTAAGTTTTTTTGCTAAGGTTTTTTTTTCTGTGTTGTCCTCATTTTTGTATTTTAAAAATGCTCCTCTTAAATTTTTTCTTCTTTTTTTTATTTATAATCAAAATAATTTGATCCTCCAAATATATTAATCTCTTAATTTCTTTATTAATTTTAATTTAATTTAATTTTTTATATTTTTTAAAAACTAGCAATATCAATATCCACTAAATAAAAAAATTAATAATTATAAAATTAAAGCATTAAAAGCAAAATACTTTTAAAAATTTAATTTTTTTTTAAATTATATTAAAAATACTAAAAATAATGTAAATATATCAAAAATATATTTTTTAAAATTTTTATTATTTTTAATTTTTTTGTAAAAATTTATCAAAAATATTGTAAAAAATTGGATATCAACTATTCCACTAATCATCAAATTCAATGACTGTTAGGCTTACAAAATGGTTAGAGTTGTGCCAAAGCCCATTGAGGCCCACTTAATGCTGACTTGGCCCATAAACTAGGTTACTAGAAGTTTAACAAACTGGGCCCTGATATTTTTTTAAGGATTGAGCCTTGAGACAAACAATTCATTCTTTGTGTAGCATTATTCTATTTTTGCAGAGAGAGAAACAGCAAAAAGGATGTGAAGTGAACTACTGAAAAACTAAAAGGGTTTTGTAATAAAAATAAATTACTTCTTTTTTATTTCGATAATTCATGAATTCTCCACATCATCATCATTATTAGCGATA